GAAGTTGAGACGAGTTTCCAGCATGAGCGAGTACATTTTAGAAGTAATGAAAAACCTTCAAAAACCCGGCGAGAGAAAAATGTTAAAGCAGCTTCATTCCTAAAGGTATCGTACTGTAGAATAGAACTAGTGTCAGTGATGGTCATATATGGAAAAGAGCAACTCAAGCTTTTGTCACGTGGAAAAGAATGCGGTGGACCTAATTCTCACCATAATCGTTTCAAATTAAGCAGTGCGAACTAGGATGAGATGTGCCTTTTGCTAAAAGGCGACTGCGTCTATATGGACATGTAAGCAGAAAGAAGGGACACCCAACACCGGATGAAGAAGAACAAAGTGCTGCGATTTACCAGTATTGTAAAGGATCCATGAAACTTGGGATAGGCTACCATGCTTTATATTGAAAAGGCTAGATATTGACATGAGCATCTCGTGAAAGCAAAAACACAGGAAAAAATACTTTTTTAGCAGCAAATGATTGGTCCTTTTGCATAATTTAAGAAGAACTTAGCCCATAACGCTTACCATTTTGAGAGGTTGAAGACAATCAATGCAAGATACAGTATGGCTCCTGCAATTCCAGAAACCAAATGTGCCGTAGCATTAGCCGCCACAGCCTGCTCGTTGTTGAAAGTGAACATTAGCATGGAGAAAGCGGATCCAAGTCTAGAAACGTGCACTTTAGAAGTGTCTTCTCGCAGCTTTAAGTAGAACTTACGTCTCTATGGTTGCCATAACAGATATTTGAGCGGATCTGGTACCAAAACATACAAGTATTGCTACTTTGCAAGGTTCTGGCAGTTTTTCTGTCTAAAAATAAGTTTGTACACAAAATGGTCGAAAAGTGCACTTCAAAGGGTACCTTGGCAGCATCAGCCTTGAGCACATCGTACTTTTCCTCAAATGCGAAAAGTACTGCTAGAAAGCCGGCTGTGTCCAAGAAGAGAGAGAAAAGAGCAGGTGAGTTGTAGATGTTAAGATTGAAAAATGGTAATATGCTTATCCCTTGATGTCCAAGAGGACTGAAGAGCAATTGTAAAGCTGTAACACGTCAATCTCACATTTTTTGATTCAATTTGTGTTTATGAAAAAATAATTATTGTATGCTCAAAACAAAACCTACCTGGACCTATTAGGCTTCCAGCGGCTAAACCACCATTAATACAGGCAATGGCTCGAGCCCGATCCGATTTTGATGAAGATGTTGAAACATAGGCTCTTAGAAGACATATATTACCTAGTATTGCATGTATCACTTTCTAATTAATCATATTTCTCTCAAAAAATTGTACAAAATTCAAATCCTTATCCTCCACTCTATTCACATTCAAGGCAAAAACTGAAAAACATGCGTCTGAACTTTATTGGAAAATATCATAGCTACCGCAAACAATTACTAGGTAACCAATGGCGGTCGCACCTGTTCCACATCCTAGAACAAATCTTGCAATGAGCATCGCAATAGTTACACTAGAAGTGGCGTAAAATGGGAGCGACAAATATAGCACATTTCCAACCATCATCAGAAAAAATCCAGTAAGCAGAGGAAATCGAACCTAAATACAAAATTTGAGAAAAATCATGGCAAGCCAACCCATCTCAAAACAGTGTACGCCCCTCTTATTATGACTATTCTTTCTAAATTCCTCACATCAGACCTCAAGTACAGAGAGGCTAAAGCTTATTTTCTTAGAGCAACCATGAAGGAATTCTATTCAAAATTACTTAGTCTATTGATTAATTATTGTGAGTAAATATGTGCAACCTGTTCTATTCGGTTGCTCCAATAACCGAACGTAAAAGCTGATATGCACTGAGAGACACTGTAGAATGTGACAATATAACCAAAATGAGATTCTTCTGCTTGTGGGTTTAACTGCAATTACATTTGTTACCATTGAAGGCGGAGATTATCACTTTACCGTTCTCAGATATGGCCACATAGAACTTAAGAACATGGTAAATTGCGCTTCTTG